CGTTATCTCTTCTCTCTTTCTTTGCGATCTCTCTCTCTCTCTCTCTTTGGTTCGTGCGGTCTGAAACCATAACGTCGTGGTCTGAAACCCTAATGTCGCGATCGGAGAACCACCGCCATCGCATCAACAAACCAGAGCTCTCTCTCTCTCTCTCTTCACGATCTCTCTTTTCTCTCTCCCGCTCGTTCTCTTTCTCACGATCTGCTCCGTCGTCACCTCCGGTCACCATCGCCATCGCGATCGCGATCTGAAACCTAACCACTGCCATCGCGATCGACCCGTGCTCTCTCTCTCTCTCTCTCTCTCTCTCTCTCTCTCTCTCGATCTGCGTTGTTTGTCGCCGTCGCCGTCGCGATCGCGATTTGCGTTGAAACCCTAGCCACCGATGGTTGTTCGCCAGCGGCGTTGAAACCCTAGTATTTATTTATATTAATATTAATATTAATTACAAAATAAAAAATTGTATATTTTTGAAGAAAAAGAAAAAAATCAATATTAATTGGTATTAATTATTAATATATTAATATTGTATATTTTTGTAATGAATTAATTATTAATTGATACTAATTAATAACAATTGTTGATTATTAATATTATTTGATACTAATAAAAATTAATTATTAATATTAATTGATACTAATTAATAATTTTACTATTAATTCAGACTAATTAAGCCATTAATTGATACTAATTAATAATTTTAGTATTAATTGATATTAATTAATTTATAATGGAAAAAAAAATTGTTACAATAATACTTCCATTACATTTTTATCAAATGTATCAATTTTTATATTAGTTGGTACTATTTAATACTAATTATATTAACTTTTATTAATGAAATAATTTTTTAAAATCAAAACTGAAAAAAATGACAAAATTATCATTTTTATATCATATAAGGGCAAAAAGGTCAATTATACAAAAAAAAAAAAACTATTTTACAGCTTATCAACCAAACACTATTTTGCTATTTAAATCCATAATCTCACAGCTGCACCAAACAGGTCAACAACTTATGTTCACAGTTATAAGCTATAATCTATAATCACTTTTCTACAGTTTTACCAAACAGGGCCATAGAAGACAGCTGGGATGCAAAAGCACAATAAGATGGTGAAATTGATGTAAGGAAACAAAATTAGAGATAGAATATTGAGTACATGACCTCACACCCTTATGGAGAGCAATAGGAACATGAAGATCATATTCAACACGAGGAATAAGTGCATGATTAGAGGATTCAAAATTAGGTACAATAAACGATTACCTAAGTCATAGGATTCAGATTGGCAAGGCAGAGGAAGAGGGATAGTCTTATCCTTCTGTTGTCTGGAATATACTTTTGACTCTCTAGAAGGCATATCATGGTCATGCACAGGTTCCTTTTCCATTGAAACCTCTTGCTCAGGCTTCTTAAAACTTGGATCCAATGATGGACTCAATGACACAACAGGGAGCCTAGGTGGGGCTGGAGCTTCACTCAACTGCTTCCCTTGAAGCTAAGTCTCAAGTGGGTAATATGACTGAGTCTAAAAAAAGGTCACATCCATGTAGACAAACTGTCTACCTAAAGGAAGGAGGATGATAACACTTGTAAACTTTTTGAGTGGTAATGCATTTTGTAGTTTGAGGATCAAGTTTATCCCGAAGACGCAACAGAACATGGACATAGAACGCATAACCAAAGACACGAGGAGTAACTACAAACTGATCGGAGAAAGACGAGGCAAATGAGGAGGACGAAAGCTCGATGGGTGATTGGAAACCTAGGATGAGAGAAGGGATCCTGTTAATAAAATAAGCAATAGAGAGGACAACATAATAGACATTAGAACACTCATGGAAAAACACAAAGCCCGAGCAACATCAAGGACGTGACGGTTCTTTTGTTTAGCAAGACCATTTTGTTGGGGGGTGTCACTACAAGTGGCTTGATGTATAATACCATGGTCTCAAAAGTATGAACAAAGGCCCCCATTAAAGTACTCACCCTTATTATTAGATAGAACAAATTCTAACTGGGATATTAAATTGGGTTAGTATCATTTTGTGAAATAGTTGAAAACATGAAAGCACATCACTCTTATTCTTCATCGAATAGACCTAGGTAGCACCAGAAAAGTCATCAATGAAAGTGACAAACCATTTAAAACCAGACATTAACAACTCGACTTGGACCCCAAACATCATTATGAATATTAGTAAAAGGGCAACTGCTTCTATTGTTACTGATAGGAAAAGACACGCAATGATTTTGAGCAAGTTCACATTCACAATAAAATTTAGAACTATCCAACAGAGAAAACAAAGTTGGAAAAAGTTTCTTCAACAAATTAAAAGAAGGATCTCCTAATCTAAGGTGTATAAGCCACAACTGTTCCTCCGAAGAAGCACAAGTGACAGATTGATGATCCCCGAACTTGACCATCAATAGTTCCTTGAGAGTCTAGAAAGTAAAGACTCCCCTCTTCTTACCACTATTCGAATCTTGAAAAACACGATGAGTGGGAAAAAAGGTCACACAACAATTTTGTTTAGTAAGGCCTATTTCGGGAAGCTAGCTTTTTAGCTGAAAAGCCAAAAAGCCACTACAAAAAAGTCAACTCTTCTCTCTACATTTTTGCACATCTTTTGGTAAAAAGTTAAAAAGCTACTAAAAAGGCCAATTTTCAAAACAACCTTAAGACTACTAACTAAATGAAGACTAGTGGACAAATTAGGAACATGCAACACAAAAAACTGAGGCATAAATGGAGTAACATGGATGGAACCTTCGTTAGACACTGAGGAATGAGAACAATTAGCTATGTTAACTTATTGTTCTGAACAAAGAATATATGAGTAGAACAAATTGGACAAACTAGTCATATGATTAGAAGTCCCAGAATCAATAATCCATGGGAAAGATGATGATTGACAAGAAGCACTTATGGCCATAGAAGTATTACCTGACTAGGCAAAAGCAAAAGATATAGAAGAGGTACCCATTTTTGACATAAGACGGCGGAAGGTCTCCACTTCCACCTTGGTTAGAACTACAGACTCAGAGGAGGACTCATTAGCAGTAGGGACTATTGGGATTGACTTAGTAGTTGTAGACGGATGAGCAGTAGTATGGTGTGCATGAGAACTACCTCTACCGCTAGCGTGACGACCTCTACCCCCTAAAGGAGGACAACCTTGAAGTTTCCAACAATGCTCCTTATCATGCTGTGGGCGGTTTCAAAGATCACAATAAAGCTTATCCTTGTCCTTGAAAGAATCACCATATCGACTCTTTTAGGTTTCTTACCACCCAGCCAGGAGTCTTGCTGAATAGTAGAAAAACGAGCTGAACTCTCCTGGGGCTGTGGGTGTAGCATGACCTCATGTCTGCTCTCCTTACGTTGAACATAAGAGAAAACCTCCTAAACAGATGGAATCAGCTCTCTACCTAAGATTTGGATCCAAATTTGATCATACTAAGGATTTTGATTTTGATTTTGATTTTTGATTTTTTTTTTTTGATTTTTTATTTTTTTAGGTGAATATCATACTAAGGATTTAACCATTTAAGAAATTTAATGATCCGATCTTGTTCAATCAATTTTTGCAATTTCAAAGTATCTGCTATACTATCCATCTCAAGAGTCTAATAATGATCCAACTCCTTCCAGAAAGCATGAAGGGTGTGGAAAAAAGTGACAACAGTAGAATCCCACCGCTTGGTATTGTGAATTCAACACTTCAACTCATATACTTGTGCCAAATTTCCCTAATTGGTGTAAGTTTGTGCAGCCGCATCCCAAATCTCCTTTGCCGTGTCCATGAACAAACAGATCGCAACTGATTTCAGGCTCCATAGAGTTGAGAAGCCAAGATATAACCGTGGAATTCTTAGCATCCCATTGATCTTAAAGGGGATCATTAGTGTTTGGTTGTACAACTTTGCCAGTCACATACCCTATTTTCCCCCTACTTTTGATAAATAACTTGGCTAATTCCAAGACAAATAGTTACAGCCATTAAGCCTCAAAGTGGTAATCTGTAAGGTGGGATTATTTGGGACAGTTTGGCGAGCAACAGTGACTGGTGGTTGAGACATCACACTTCCTTTTGACATGATTAGGTAGTAGTTTGACAAATATCACCTAACAAGAAGGTTGTAGAGACAAAAAACAGCCAGAAAAAAAACCAAAACAGTGCTCTGTGAATACTAGGAGACAACAAAACAGGCCACTAGAAAGCACAAAACACCCTCAAACCACCAAAAAAGAATTCACCACTGCTCAAGACCCATGGATACAGAGTCTATAGTGTTAGTCGGCCCCCTAGTGATTGAGAGAAAAAGACTGATGCACTAAAATACCTTTGGTAGCTGAAACTGGAAAATAGCCCTTATTTTCCAAGAAATACGAAAAAAATGGAAAATCCTAGCAAGGCCTCTTCAATGGAAAAACAAACAATATATATAGGGTGAAAGAACTATCCTAGTCGACCATGGAGAGGATTTTTTTTAAATTTATTGTCGCTGAGCAATATTTTTAACAGCAGGGAGGGGAAACCTTGCATCTAGGAAATAACCAACTAAACAATTTCTGTACTCATGAATACCAGATTGTTCAATCTCCATAGGCAAAGTAACCATGACTTTATACTCTGAGAAATTAGGAGGATGATACTCCAAATTCATCATTTTGCTATTAAGAGCAATACCAACCTAAACTTCCTTCCATGAATGACAAGTCTGCCAAGAGTAAAAATAGAAACAAGCTCTAGAGTTTAGAATGTATATGTCAAATAGAAGGTTCAAAAGTGTATTGAGTTGTGTGTTACTCCAATGTTAAGTTGGGTGTTGACATTCTGGAAGTCATTCTTTGCTGTGCCTCGATGCAGAAAGATTATGACATCCAGTTCTTTTTCCATTTGTTGCTTGAATTTTTTTTTTCTTCTAGATTATTCTCTGTTTTGAATCCTTGTTCCTCCTAAATTTATTTACTATTTTCTATCGGAAATAGATGGAAAAGATTCCAATTGATGAGATCAAGAAAGAGTTGAGGTCTGCTGAGTTGTCAGATGAGGCTATTGAGGAGCTGCTGCAAGTACTCTCTATTAAGTCTTTAACAAAGTTGGAAGGTTGGTTGTTGCAACTTTGAATGAGATGTGACCTACACTTTTTGTGATCTTGTCAGTTGAGTCTTACCTTGTTAAACTTAAATTCATTCTTTCCTTGACATGTAAATGATATTATGCTCGTCTAAAAATGCCTTTGGGTTCTGTCTTCTGCCTTACATTTATTGTTTAACCTTATCTATCCTTATATTTTGTACATCATTTAGGTCCTTCAAGCCTTACACTTATAGAGGCAAACTATTCTTGCAGAGGGAGAGAGCATTGTTTATTAAGATATAAATACAGTCACTAGTACTCTCCCGGATGCAGGACGATTAGGGAAAGTGCTGTAGGGACTTTAAAGCTGAATTTTTGTGGGTTTTTATGGTGGCTTAAAGCTGAAAATTAATAAGAATTTTAGGATTTCAATTAATGAATGGAATGAACTAGGTTTAGGATTGATAAACAGGGTGAGAGAGATCAGGAGAGGGGCTGTTTAGGAGCTGTGAACAGTAGCTCGTGAACAGTAAACTGAAACAGAAAAGAAAAAGAAAGAAGAAAATAGTTGTATGAACCATTCCTAAAATCCCTTAGGCATGACACTTAGGGTTAGGGTTGCATCACACAAACCCAAAGAGGTTTCAAAGCTTTGAAAATTCTATAAAATATATACTTTATTAAAATATAAGCATGGTTTTATATAGAACTAGGAGTCTTCCTAAACCAACAAGAACCAAAAAAGGAAACTTAATTACTTTGACTTCAGAGTTATTGCCAATTAGATTAATTAGCTAAATACAATCGCAAGCAATAAAGTAAATCAATCTCTCTCTGTCTCTCTGTCTCACACACACACACACACACACACACAAAAGGCTTGTGATTAACATGGAAAGCACTACTGGGAAAAATCAGAGGACCTAATCCAACCAACCAATTTAGTATAAAGAATAAACACAAGTTGCCACTTACAACCCAACCCAAACCAAACCAAATCCACAATGTCAAGTCCATGAAATTTTGGGTGTGCTCCTTGTAGCGATTGAATCCATGATCTTCATCTTCAATTGATGGTTGAGTGTTGAATCTATGATACTTCAAGAATCCACCACGAATTGAACACGATCCACCAAACAACCTTTGGAATTCACTAAGGCAATCACCAATGTGTGAGCAATGATGTATAAAAGCTCAAATATCGAATGCATTCCAAGCATGTTTTGGTCTTCACCCAAGGCCTGTATTTATAGTTGAGGTGTCCTAGAATGACTTAAAGACTTCTTTAGCTCGTCCCCATGTGTTAAACTAACTTAAATCTTGTAAAATCGACACCTTGCGCTTGAGCCCGCATAACCCTCTCAAGCTCCCAAAAAAATTGTGCATTTTGGAGTAACCACACCTAAGTTCACTTCTCAAATTCCAATATGTTCGATTCTTTTTACAGTGAAAGATATATGTTAATTCTTCCTCACTTTGTTTTACACGTGACCCCATGCCAAGCTAGCTGTCACGTGTTCCAAATTTGTCATGTAATGTAGCACAAAATCATCCATGCATATCTTTGAGGCATATGTTTGGAGAGTTGAAGAAGTGTCACCAAAGTGTCCAAAAATGTCTGTAAAGTGTCTAATATCATGAATTTAATTTTTTAATTAAGACACGTTGAAGAAGTGTCAAGACGCTTTTTAGAGTGTTGGCAAAGTGTTGTGTCCAATACGGGTGTCCAACACGACATGTGAAGTGTTCAGGCTTCTTAGCTTGTGGGCCTCATGACCTAGAACCAATTTATTTTGCTGCTTCACCACCACTTTGTAACTCTGATTTGTCTATTTGTACCTAGACTCAACTTCCTAACTAGAATCAGTTGGTACTTCTAAAAATAATTACAAATCAAATTTGCTATTCCAATTCTAATATATTTTGTATAAGGGATTGCCAAATCTAGTATGGACCTCAGAAGCATGAATATGGAAATGATACGATACAAATATGGCAATATAAAAAAAATCGAAAATAATAGGATACGGGTACAACCTGGTTCTAAGAAGCACAAACACTTCTAAAAAGGGGTGTGTCCGTGTCGGACACTTCTGGACACATGTCCGATACTCATCCAAATGTATCTTTTGTTTTTTATTTTTATTTTTTATGTATAAAAAATTTAGACTTGGACACTTGGGAGGACACACATGTCTGTTGATTAGACACACAAAACTAATTATAAGTTTGAACAAAATAACTTAGAATACGATGATAAAATAAAAACATTGTCAATTTATAGAAATTAGTGTTATATTATATTTATTTATTGTCTTGGAATAATAAATTCATATATATGACATGTAATAAATATATAAAATTATATATTCTGTGCATGTCTCCCACGTGTCGTGTTTTGCATTTTTGGAAAATTGTCGTTTCGACGTGTTCGTGTCGTGTCACATGTCCGTGTTCGTGCATCTGACTAGGTTACATTTGGGAAACAAATTAAGTATTATATTATACGTAAGCTTAAGGAAATGTGAAAAGCCATTCTTTAGGATTTATGTATTATTTTTAGAGTTAGTAACCAATTTACTCTTTTGTTTTTTCTTTTTCATTTCTCTCTCTCTCTCTCTCTCTCTCTCTCTCTCTCTCTCTCACACAATGGATCATGTAAGAATTTCATTTCAATATAAAGTCTAAATTGATTATATTGCCTTTGTGCAACCCTTTCACACTTGAAAGTGTCATATGCAAGTTTATTTTCTTGTTTAATTATCACTACATAATTTTTTTTAGAGTGCTGCTATTAGCACCCCAAGAATTATGTTGGACCCCCCAATTTTTAGTTTTTTTTATTTATTTATTACAATAATAACCTTAAATGAAATTACTAAAAAAGGCATCATTAATGTTAGGACACTCCATTTTACAATTAAACCTACACACCCACTATATCATGAATTAGGGTTTATGTGAATACCCACCTCCATCACCACTCATTCATCTTCCCCAAATCCCACCTTCAAAACTTACCTACTCTGAAAACCCTGAAAACCCTTTGGCAACCATTTGATTACCTACACTCCTCCGGCAATAACAATGAGTGAAAGTTTTTCAGGCAACTACAACTCTATAAAACGAGAGGAGTACGACAATAAAAGCACAGAGGAGATTCATAGCCTTGATGTTGTTCTTAGCTCAGAGGAGATTGGGCTTTTGAGGGTAAGTTTCTTGAAAAAAATGACAAAAATTATAAAATATGTTTGTCATTTTTTCGGGACTGAACTCCCGAACATTTGACCGAAATTCAGGAACACAGGCTCGAACATTGTTTAATTGTTCGGGAACCGGTAACCGAACATTTATTATTTGTTCGGAATCATGTAACCAAACGTTATTCATAGGTTCGGACCTGTTTTACCGATCAAATTTTGAAATTTAATTTGTGTTGTTATTTATTTTAGGATGATGGTGAGTCAAATAGAAGCAACAAAGTTGGCTCAGAATTCATAATAGATTATAGTAATGAATTTATGACTCACGAGGTAATATACGAACGTATTGAAAATTATATATGAATATTTTTCGAATATATATTGTTAATGTGCATTAATTTATTTCTTTATGTGTATATTGGTAACAAAATCATTACTTTATTTTTTCAATTTTAGATATTCAAGTCTCGAGATGAATTAATACGGTGGGCATGTGATGTTGGGAGGAGAAATGGTTTGGTTATTGTTGTGAAGAAATCAGATGCGAGTGGTACTCATCGTAAAAAACCAAGACTAACTCTTGCTTGTGAGAGGAGTGGATGTTATAGTGACACTAGGAAAAACACTAGACCTAAGGAAAAGAAATTGAAGCTTACCGATACTAAAAAATGTGACTGTCCTTTTCTGTTAAAAGCTAAAAAATTAGATACAAACGATGATTGGACATTGATCGTGATATGTGGTGTGCATAATCATCTTGCTGCGGTTTGTCTTGAAGGTCATTCTTATGCTGGGAGGTTATCACATGAGGAATCTTCTTTGTTGGTTGATATGTCGAAGAGTATGGTACGACCAAGTGAGATATTAGTCACACTTAAACAAAGCAATAGTGAAAATGTTTCCACAATGAAAACAATCTACAATGCACATCAATGGCATAACGTTTTTGAGAAGGCTGGGAGATCTGAAATGCAGCTACTATTGGGTCAGTTAGCGATGAACAAATACATAGAATGGCATAGGAACTGTAAAGATATGTTTGGATTACAAATCAGAGTTGGATATGTTTGCTCGACGTTACGAAGAGGTAGATCAAACTATGCAGGTTCAAATGTTAAAGAAGTTGAGGCAGATACATACACCTGAGAGTACATTCTTGATTGAACCTGAAGTGAAGCTTAACCCACGGGGTCGACCATCCTTGAAGATTGATACTTCTACTCGCCGTGAGCCCTCTACCATTGAGTTTGTTTCATCTGCACAAGACAGCTATTCACCAAGTGTAGGTTTGAAGAAAAATACGTGTCCAAAGAAATTAAAATCAATGCAGCGACTAAAGGTGTGAGTTTGCAAACTGATTAATTATGTTTATACCTATACAACAACATGTATTAACTAACTTTGGCAATGGATTGTATGTATGTAGGTATATCCACATCGATAAAAAAAAAAAAAAAGCAATTTGTCTTTTGTAGGTGAATTTCCTTCAAGTTTGAGGCCATATATTCAACTCGTGAAGAATGTTGATGCTGATGGTAATTGTGGATTTCGAACCATTGCTGGATTAATGGGATTTGGTGAAGATGGATGGTTGCAAGTGAGGAAAGATTTACTACAAGAATTACATGCCCATATAGATCACTACAAGAGTTTATTTGGGGGCCAAGAAAGAGTTGATGAGTTAACTACTATTTTAGCGTATTTTGAATCAAATGCTGCATATAGTCATTGGATGACAATGCCTGACATGGGTCATCTGATATCATCTTTTTACAATGTTATGTTATTTCACTTATCTTCTCAACAATGCCTTACTTTTCTCCC